CCCATGTCTCGCGTAGCACTTGGGTCCGACGCAATTTTTTGTGGATCACTTGGTGCTAGATGATTTTTCCCACTCCTGCAGTCTATATATATGGGAAATGTTGCTCGTGCCCTTTCCTCTTTCCCCCTTTTTCCGGGGTCGGCGGCAGGGGCGGCAGCCCTTAAATTCGGCTCCGCCGGCTCCCCACGAGTGGCTTGCCCTACGAGCGTCCCAGAGCGACTAGAGCTCTAAGGTGAGGCGCGCCCCCAACCGCCGACCCTCCGACGCCGGGCCCCGAAAAACACCAAAAATCCTTCAGGAGGGGGGGGAGAGCTTTTTGGCCGGGATCCGGGTCGCTCATAAGCGTCTCCAAGAGCATTCCCCCCCCCCCGTTTTGAGGGTACCTAAAATCGGAAAAAAGCGCCGTTTTGACACATTTTTCGGACGATTTTTCGCTTTTCGAAAGTCACAAAATGCTGTAAATTACAGCATTTTTGCGTTTTAACATCTTTTGCGGGAGCCATGTAAAAACGCAGAAAATGCTGTAAATACCAATACTTTTTGGACCCAAGATGCACAAAACACCGCAAATACCAGTGTTTTTGAAAGCCAAGCAAAAAAACACTGTAAATTACAGCATTTTTGGCGTGTTGATCGCAAAAACTGCTGGTATTCACAGTGTTTTTGCAATTTCAAGAAAACGTGGAAGGCACGAAACACTGTAAATAGCGGTGTTTTGGCCACTTTTGGACGCCAAAACGCTGGTATTTACGCAGTTTTTTGCCCGTGGCGGCGCCAAACCCCTGTAAATTACAGCATTTTCTTCCCTTTCTGAACCGATTTTTTGCCTTGATGAACGGAAAAAACGCTGGTATTTACGCGTTTCCCAAAAAATCGAAGATCGTGACGTGAACGAAACCCTGTAAATAACAGTGTTTTAGCCACTTTCGGGGACTAAAACTGTGGTATTTACGCGGGTTCTTGCCATCTGACAGCGCAAAATGCTGTAAATTACAACACTTTGTGCGCTGTTTATGTTCAATTTTTTAAACTGCGATGCTTTCACCTGTTCTTTGCCTTCTTCCACAAGAAACAATGTTGCAGATTGAAACTGGAAACAATGTTGCAGATTGAAACTGGACGACAGCGTGACCCGAAAGAAAGCTGGAGGGAGGAGTCGCACAGAAGCTTTTACACACACAGGGGCTTTTACACAGAGAAGTCTTTACACAAAGGAGCTTTTTACGCACAGAAGGTTTTACACAGCGAAGTCTTTACTCTAAGGAGCTTTTGCACACAAACGTCTAGGAGCCTTTACACACAGAAGCTTTTACACGAAGAAGTCTTTACACAGAGGGGTTTTTACACACAGACGCGTTTGCACACAGAAGCTTATTTTACACAGAGAAGCCTTCACACAGAGGAGCTTTTACACACAAAAGCGTTTACACACAGCAAGCTTTTACACGCACAGGGGCTTTTACACAGAGAAGTCTTTACACAAAGGAGCTTTTTACACACAGAAGGTTTTACACAGAGAAGTCTTTACTCTAGGGAGCTTTTGCACACAAATATCTAGGTGCTTTTTCACACAGAAGTTTTTACGCGAAGAAGTCTTTACACAGAGGGGTTTTTACACACAGACGCATTTGCACACAGAAGCTTTTACACAGAGAAGCCTTTACACAGAGGAGCTTTTACACAAAAGCATTTGCACACAGCAAGCTTTTACACACACAGGGGCTTTTACACAGAGAAGTCTTTACACAAAGGAGCTTTTTACACACGGAAGCTTTTACACAGAGAAGTCTTTACTCTAAGGGGCTTTTTACACACAGACGCGTTTGCACACAGAAGCTTTTACACAGAGAAGCCTTCACACAGAGGAGCTTTTACACACAAAAGCGTTTACACACAGCAAGCTTTTACACACACAGGGGCTTTTACACAGAGAAGTCCTTACACAAAGGAGCTTTTTACACACAGAAGGTTTTACACAGAGAAGTCTTTACTCCAAGGAGCTTTTGCACACAAACGTCTAGGAGCTTTTTCACACAGAACTTTTTACTCGAAGACGTCTTTACACAGAGGGGTTTTTACACACAGACGCATTTGCACACAGAAGCTTTTACACAGAGAAGCCTTTACACAGAGGAGCTTTTACACACAAAAGCATTTACACACAGCAGGCTTTTACACACACAGGGGCTTTTACACAGAGAAGTCTATACACAAAGGAGCTTTTTACACACGGGAGCCTTTTGGAAGCAAATTTCGGCCTTTTGGCGGCCCCTCGGCCGGCTATTGAATTTCTCTTCTGGGATCATTGGGAAACGGCCGTTTTTGGCCAAATCCTGGCCGGGAGCCTTTTGGAAGCAAATTTCTGCCATTTGGCGGTCCCTCGGCCGGCTATTGAATTTCTCTTCTGGGATCATTGGGAAACGGCCGTTTTTGGCCAAATCCTGGCCGGGAGCCTTTTGGAAGCAAATTTCTGCCATTTGGCGGCCCCTCGGCCGGCTATTGAATTTCTCTTCTGGGATCATTGGGAAACGGCCGTTTTTGGCCAAATCCTGGCCGGGAGCCTTTTGGAAGCAAATTTCTGCCATTTGGCGGTCCCTCGGCCGGCTATTGAATTTCTCTTCTGGGATCATTGGGAAACGGCCGTTTTTGCCCAAATCCTGGCCGGGAGCCTTTTGGAAGCAAATTTCTGCCATTTGGCGGCCCCTCGGCCGGCTATTGAATTTCTCTTCTGGGATCATTGGGAAACGGCCGTTTTTGGCCAAATCCTGGCCGGGAGCCTTTTGGAAGCAAATTTCTGCCATTTGGCGGCCCCTCGGCCGGCTATTGAATTTCTCTTCTGGATCATTGGGAAACGGCCGTTTTTGCCAAAACCTGGCCGCAAGGTTTTACACAGAGAAGTCTTTACTCTAAGGAGCTTTTGCACACAAACGTCTAGGAGCCTTTGCACACAGAAGCTGTTCCACGAAGAAGTCTTTACACAGATATATAGCTTTCATTCACAGACGCGTTTACACACAGAATCTTTTACACAGAGAAGCGTTTACACAGAGAATTTTACACAGTGAAATCTTTACACAGGCGCGCTTTCACACAGAGAAGCTTTCACACACAGAAGCTTTTACACAAAGAAGTCTTTACACAAAGTGGTTTTTACACACAGCAACTTTTACACGCAAAAGCTTTTACACAGAGAAGCCTTCAGCCAGAGGAGCTTATACACACAAAAGCGTTTACACACAGCAAGCTTTTACACACACAGGGGCTTTTACACAAAGAAGTCCTTACACAAAGGAGCTTTTTACACACAGAAGGTTTTACACAGAGAAGTCTTTACCCTAAGGAGCTTTTGCACACAAACGTCTAGGAGCTTTTTCACACAAAACTTTTTACACGAAGAAGGCCTGACAGAGAGGGTTTTTACACACAGACGTGTTTGCACACAGAAGCTTTTTTTACACAGAGAAGCCTTTACACAGAGGAGCTTTTACACACAAAAGCATTTACACACACAGGGGCTTTTACACAGAGAAGTCTTTACACAAAGGAGCTTTTTACACACAGAAGGTTTTACACAGAGAAGTCTTTACTCCAAGGAGCTTTTGCACACAAACGTCTAGGAGCCTTTACACACAGAAGCTGTTACACAAAGAAGTCTTTACACAGATATATAGCTTTCACACACAGACGCGTTTACACACAGAGGCTTTTACACAGAGAAGCCTTTACACTTTACACAGAGAGTTTTTACACACCGAAGCTTTTACACACAGTGAAATCTTTACACAGACATTTCACACAGAGAAGCTTTCACACATAGAAGCTTTTACACAAAGAAGTCTTTACACAAAGTGGTTTTTACACACAGAAACTTTTACACACAAAAGCTTTTACACAGAGAAGTCTTTGCACAGAGGCGTCTTGACATGAAGTCACAAGTTGAAATTGGCAGCAGTTCTTCGGGAAAAACCCTTGGCAGGAGCTTTCGGGCACTCACTTGCTCCCCAAAAAAGCCGTCTATTTCCAACAAAGTTCCTGTTCTTTTTTTTTCAAAAAACGTAAGGAATATATTTCTGAAGCAGGTCCCCATCCAAAAGCTTTCCAGCCCCCACACTGCGATGAAATGGAGGGCCGAGAAATCCGGCGGAGCCGACGAGGGGCGTTAGCCCTTAAATCCGGCCAGGGGCCCCCTGGCCGTGGCATAGCCGTACGGCGTTTCTCTCCTCTCCGTAGGAGAGAGGGGCCGCCGCCCCAGCCGCCGACCACTCCCCCCCGCCAAAAACTGTCGCGTTTTACGGTGTTTTGTGCTCTTCCCACTTTTTCCCATTTTTCGGATCTTGTGGTTTAAGATGGGTCAACATGGGCCAACATAGGCCGCAAGATGGGCCAACATAGCCCCAAGATAGGCCGCCGACCCTCAAAATATCCTGCGTTTTACAGTGTTTTTCTGGCTGTTCCCATTTTTCGGATCTTTTGGCTCAACATGGGTCAACATGAGGCCAACATAGGCCAACATAGCCACAAGATGGGCCCACATTGCCCGCAAGATAGGCCAACATACGCCAACATAGGCCAACATAGCCACAAAATGGGCCAACATAGTTGGGCCCCTGGCCGGCTGTCGCGCGTAAGTGCTTAAATATATAACATGTAAAATTGAAATATAATGATATTATTTTATTATGTATATGAGTTGCTAAAGTGAGCGCAAAGAAAATGAAAATGAGAAAACACTGGTCTGTAGAAACGTATCACATGAATGCAATATTTGAATTCGATAAATGCAAATAGCCAAATGAAATGCTGAGTTTGAAGCGGGCAAACTCTTGAAGCTTGCAAGCCCCCTGAACCCTCTGCGCAGTTTGCTTAAAACTGCTTGCAAAGGTACCGTTTTGGCACAACACCTTGCCCTAATCTTGGGGCACACCTAGTTCACTCACAGCACAAAGCGACAGAAACATACGGAAACATACGGAAACTTGGTTTCAAAATGTTTCAAACTCCTTCATCTCTGCTTGCATGTCCGCAATATCGTCGGTGAGTTTTTCGACCTTTCGGCAGTCGAGGCAGTCGAGGCTTCCAATATGCCATATATATGCCATATATGCAATGCTGCACAGTGCCAGAGGCACGACATGTCGATGTTGAACATCTGGGGCCAGTGCATCCTCCACTCCCATCTGTTTCTGCTGCTGCTTCAGCTTGTCATTGGCCTTTCGCATAGCACCGATTGATGCAGCAACTGCTGAAAGGCCCCAGAAAGAAGTGCCTGCTACAAAGAACACTGGCCTCTTTCATGGCCAGCACCGTCTGAGCGTTGATTTCTGCCTCAGTGTGTGTCTTATGTGTCTTGTGTTGTGGCAAAATCCGCAAAATACCAAGGAAACAACCGTAGACATGAGTAACGAGTGCCCAGTGCAGGGGAGCAAGCATGCCCACTTCGATTTGTCACAGGGTCTTGCAAACACATACCAATGCTTGGTTCAAGATGTTTTTTTATCTTCGTGAACTAAAGATCACATTTTAGTGAAACAGGTACCTGTCATTTTAGTGAAACAGGTACTACAGGTGCTACCTTGGTGGTTCTTTTCTCTCTAGTTCAACCGTGACCTGATTCAACCGTGGCACTTGGTCTTGCTGGATCCGCATGTTCTCAACGTTGAAGTGGGTGTTAACCAGCTGATCTCTCTGTTGTTCCAACATCTTCTTTCGCTTCAAGGCCTGCATGGCACGCGCCTTTGCCGTGGCATTGGTACCTTGGTGCCCAGGAAAACCGAGGGGTGTATTATGTAACATGATTTAAGCAAAACGACCAACCAATTTGATTCAAAATGTGAGATCATCAATTGAGATCAATTGAGATTCAATTGAGATCAATGATATCAAAGAAGAAAGCCATCCTGTGGATATTGTGACGCTAGCAGAGGCTCCAGGCTTGAAAACTACCCGAGAAGGAACCTGAGGAAGAGACTCTGCTGTGCCACATATTGTTTGGCCTCCACGGAAACAAACATGCGGCAAGTGTATCGGATGTGTATCGTTTATTTTTGGCTCAAAATATCTCCCCAAATCTGGGTCCATTTTTAGTGTTCAACCATCAAGTCTTGGCGTTCAGAATTTTAAGTCATACGGTCATACCATGTTATACTCATGGTTGAGGGTTTTACTACCCAAAATAGGATACTGTAGGTTATCCATCTCAATAGAACCCTGAACTTGGTTTTAAAAAAAGGCCTCCTCCTGAGCTTTTTGGATCTTCTCTTCAATCTCTTCAATCTTTTTGTCGATGTTTCCCGCAGCATCCTGCAGAATAACTTTGGTCCAGAGAAATTTGGGTCCAGAGCCGAGACCAGTTTAGTTTAGTTCTTCCTACTGAGTTGCCTGTTTTCGTTAGTGTACCTCAAGATTTTTCATTGTGCTGCCAACTGATCTCAGGATTCTCAGTGATCTCTTCGTCATTCAATGATATGATGTGCTGTCCAAAGATGTGGATTTGAAAGAAGTGAATCTCCGTCCTCCAAGCTGGGAGCTGGGGCTCGTTCCTCAGGTTTGCTCTGACGGCCGCCCATCGCTCTTTCGGGATGTGTCTGCAATGACCTACAGTACGGAGTCTTGTTCAATGATCTACGGACCTAGATATCTAGAAGTTCACATCGGGCATTGAGCGTGTTGATGCAGACAGCTGCTGGGTGAATTTCGGTGAAGTTGTCCTTCGATGTTGTGGGGTTTGAGACACAAAAACTCCTCCACTTGAGCCCAAGTCTCCAAAAGATGAAACGTGATGCAAGGCATTGCAAGGACAAGTCTGGCATCAATTGGCTGACCTCAAGCAGAAATAGAAAATAAGCACGTCGACATGCCCAAACCTCCCCGTCGCCGCGTGCTCAAGTGCAGCGACCAACCAGATCGGCGATGGCCTTCCTGATGGTCCCAAAGCTGGAGCAATGTCCGCGCAATGCACGCTATGGATGATCAATGACAGATGCTCACCAGGCCTGAAAAGTTGGGACCCCAGTCCTAAGGAACTTCTGATTGGATCGCCATCCTTGAGCTCCGTGAGCAGTCGACATCCTGGGGGTTGGAGCAAAGGATCCATGTGCTTCAAGCCTTATACATGTCAACTCCTGTATAATATATATATTAATATATTCTATATGTATGTATGTGTATTTATTATTATTATTATTATTAAAGATATTATTAGATATTATTAATTATTATTATCATTATTATTATTATATATTATTTTATATATATATAATATATATTTTAAATATGTTTAAATCTGTTCCCAATACATGCTGCACCAAAAAACATCTCTTCAAGCTGTGGCAGCTCCGGTCCAAACTTCACCAGTCTGCCCACCAACTGCCTCAGCAGGCCTTTGGAAGCTGAGGAAAAGGCAGTTGGTTACTATGGGGATGGGTCAAAACCCTGGTACCATTCGTGAACCCCAAAATAGCTGGTAAATGGATGTTCATCCCACTAAAAATGTATCTATAGGTATTGACCCATACCCACTACACACAAACAATAGAGTGGTTGACATGACAAAGAGTTTCGCCCACATCTGCCTGGGAGCCAAGACTCCAGGCTGGGGCAAAAAACGTACTGCTTCCAAGATCTTTAAAGAAAGGTCCAGGCAGTCAGAAGCAAGGCTGAAAAGCCCCATCTTGATGCATCATCAATTGAAGCCCCTAAAAGAGTTGTGGAGGATGTTGTGGCATTTGAATCCACAGTGTAGTAGATCTCCGTGGAGCTCAGGGCTGGAAGTTCCTGGATGTTTGTGCCCATATTGGATCCCGTTGCATCGAAACATGGACAAAAACGATCATAGCTGATGCTACCGGTCTTCGTCTGGATGGTAGTGTCACTGCCACCGTCATTGTCACAATCTGAGTAGAGAGAACGACATGTTGCGACACTGACCAAGCCACCACTTGCACTTGGCCCATGGCATCCGACTGTGAATGGTGCCTTGTCTTGCGCATGGTAGTGATACACTGCCGTGCTTGATTCAGGTGTGGGCCCAATATGGGCCCCGCAGGCATCCAGGAGTGGCAACCTCTGGTTGTCATAATCTTCCCATTTGCCATAGATGTTGTGCCCGGCAATGACACCAACCTTTGTCGAGTGCCCACCAGTTTGAGAGTACAAGCAGCTGAAACTCCGATGAAAATGGTAGTCGCCGGTATGACCACCACAAGGGCCCACCACTCCATAGTATGTGTTGCCCACAATGCGTGGCAACTCAATGTTACAGAGATGCGACACCTTGCTTTCGGCAGTGCCAATATCCGTTCCACCCTCAGTGTCGTAGGCAACTGAGGCATCGGAGCACCCCCAATTCTCGATGATGCTCTGCTGTTGGGATGTGAAGCCTGCTTCAAACGGGCCATAGATGTGCGCATTGCTTGCAATCTCCTGGCCTGCACTCAAAAGCTCATGGTTGTAGGTCTCAACTCCAGAAACGGTTGTGCAGCCAACGTCACCCAAAAGTGGGGCGGCACAAGGAGGGCTGCTGCAGGTTGGGTTTGTGCATGTGGCACCGGTAGCACCTGAGCCTGAAGTACCTGAACCACAGCCTGCAGGAGGCGGGCCAATGCCAGGTCCCCAAGTGACCCCCTGGCCGGAGCAATCCTGCCCAACCACGCCAGCAGCCAAGAAGGCAAGGCAACGGAGAGAGATCATCGGAAAGCTAGAAACAGCAGCTGTTTTTCGCTGCAGAAGCCTCCTAGTCAGGAGCTTTGAGCAGCAAATGCTGTGGAACCAAACGCCTTCATGATACTTTCTGCTGGCGTAGCTGTGCAAGTTCCAGTCAGAAAAGAGTGGGGCGACGAATAGGACGACAAGAAGCCTGCCTCTGATCCGATCTCTCGAGATCACTTCTTGTCTTATGCTTCCAACCTCAAAATGCACACATTGTTCTGTGCCGAAGGATCTCAAGAGCACCCTTTTAGGATCCGTGTTGAACAACCACGTATTTCCAGGAAAGCGGCCATCCAAACTTCTTGGACAAGGCAAAGATGCCCTGCAAATCAAAGAAAGAGGAAAGAGCAAAGTTCGTAAGCTCAAAGTGCTGCCGACATAAAACTGAAGCATACTGAAGCAATCTTGAAGCTGAAATAGAAAGAACCGAACATCTTATGCTGAATCTGCTGCCATCTTTTCCATGGGTCACACATTGCCTCAGGTGGCCTTTGGCCAAGACTGGTCAGGAAAAGGCGGGTGCTCCCCTACAGACAGTTCCGGCCTTCGTTGCAGGCATCGGAAACTGCAACATCACTTCGTTGTGTCGCCTACCTAAACTACCACAATTCAAGTACAGTTGGCTGCGCAGCGCAACCTTTCAAACAAAGGTCGCGCCACCTTGACAAAGATATCAAAGATAATCACAAAGCAGTGCCTGCCAAAAAGTTCGCAAGCCGAGTGCTGCAGAATGAGATCAGCTCAAAAGCCAAGTGCAGCACATAGCAAAGCAGCAAAGGTCCAGGTCAGTCCCGAAGCAGCCGAGGTATCTGCAAATGCCACGGTCGATGTTCTGGCTGAGCCTTGAGCTGCCCCCGTTGTAGATGCTGCTGTGGTTCCGCTGGATGCTGCAGTTGACGAGACCCCGCTGGAATCCACAGTGTAGTAGATCTCCGTGGAGCTCAGGGCTGGAAGTTCCTGGATGTTTGTGCCCATATTGGATCCCGTTGCATCGAAACATGGACAAAAACGATCATAGCTGATGCTACCGGTCTTCGTCTGGATGGTAGTGCCACTGCCACCGTCATTGTCACAATCTGAGTAGAGAGAACGACATGTTGCGACACTGACCAAGCCACCACTTGCACTTGGCCCATGGCATCCGACTGTGAATGGTGCCTTGTCTTGCGCATGGTAGTGATACACTGCCGTGCTTGATTCAGGTGTGGGCCCAATATGGGCCCCGCAGGCATCCAGGAGTGGCAACCTCTGGTTGTCATAATCTTCCCATTTGCCATAGATGTTGTGCCCGGCAATGACACCAACCTTTGTCGAGTGCCCACCAGTTTGAGAGTACAAGCAGCTGAAACTCCGATGAAAATGGTAGTCGCCGGTATGACCACCACAAGGGCCCACCACTCCATAGTATGTGTTGCCCACAATGCGTGGCAACTCAATGTTACAGAGATGCGACACCTTGCTTTCGGCAGTGCCAATATCCGTTCCACCCTCAGTGTCGTAGGCAACTGAGGCATCGGAGCACCCCCAATTCTCGATGATGCTCTGCTGTTGGGATGTGAAGCCTGCTTCAAACGGGCCAAAGATGTGCGCATTGCTTGCAATCTCCTGGCCTGCACTCAAAAGCTCATGGTTGTAGGTCTCAACTCCAGAAACGGTTGTGCAGCCAACGTCACCCAAAAGTGGGGCGGCACAAGGAGGGCTGCTGCAGGTTGGGTTTGTGCATGTGGCACCGGTAGCACCTGAGCCTGAAGTACCTGAACCACAGCCTGCAGGAGGCGGGCCAATGCCAGGTCCCCAAGTGACCCCCTTGCCGGAGCAATCCTGCCCAACCACGCCAGCAGCCAAGAAGGCAAGGCAACGGAGAGAGATCATTGGAAAGCTGGAAACAGCAGCTGTTTTTCGCTGCAGACTTTCTAGCTTCACGAACTACAAATGTCGAGCCGCAAATGCTGAGCACCACTCCAAGGAGATGGCTGCTTTGTGTTGTGGATCACTTGAGATGGCGATGGCCAAGTATTGCAAGAAAAAAATGCTTGGAAATTTGGTAGGTGTCCTGTCCTTAGGTCCTTCAACTCAAAGCGTTCATCTGCTTCAAGTGCATCAGCCTCAGTGCAATGCAAAGGTGAAGGACAGTGAAGGTCAAATGCGCTACGCACGCTGACCTGGAAACTCAGTCTGTGGCCGCACTGATGTCCTATTTGCACGTGACAGTAGAAGACCTCCTGTGCCATGGGAACACAGCAATGGGACTGTAAGCAAGCAAAACTCTTTCATCCATTTATGTATGTACTTACGTACGTATGTATGCTTTGTATCGTATTGTATATTGTATTGTCATGTCATCTATTGTCACGTCATGCGATGCGATGCAATGGAAAGGAATGCAATGCAATTTATGAATGTATTCTATTATATACATATATATACCTTGCAAATCCATATCCCAAGAAAAATCGGGACGAGGGTCGAGAACCTGGTTATGATCTGTTTTCTGCTGAAAACCTGACTTTACTGTCGAAAACCTGGATTTGGAGCAATTTCCCACTTTTTGCCGCATCTCAAGCACATATCCAAGCCCCGCGGTGGGTGTGTCCCACGATGTCAGAAACTCAGCTGCTTCAAGCTCCTGGCACGGCAAATGAGATCCAAATCTGATTCCCACGTGAGACATTTGGGTTTAAGAGGGTTCATGCTAGGCTTAGACTAGCAACCATGGCTGCTTTCGATACTTCTGGTCTTTGTGATGAGTGGGACCAATGTGATGAAGTCCGTGAGCGACTTCGACGTGGTGAATCTCTGGTCATTGCGCCCAAAAGCAAGGGGGCCGATGCCACCATCCCCGAATGCACTCAAAATAGCGATCTTCTGTTTCCCCCGCTCCATCGACTTTTCCGATGCCAGTTGAAGCTTCCAGATATTTCTGGATTACGTGAGGAAGTTCAAACCATTTACTCCAAGAACCAGCGTGCCCCCCAAGATGATGAGATAGACGATGCAGCATGGGATCTCCGCAAGATGCTTCGTCTCATCAAGAGGAAGGCCAACAGGAATGATCCATCTTTGGACACTTGGCACTATATGCATTGTATTTTCAGAAATATGAAACCCGTTGGTTGATTGTGCCATTCTTTTTGCATTTTTGTGGGCCTGCACCCCTACACCCCATATATATTATAGTACGACTGTACGACCATTTTAGTTCTTAGCAGTCGGCTTTCGACTGCGCCCGCAAGGATTTCAATTTCCAAGAGATGGTGCTTATCCTCAAGCCCGAGCTTCAGGCAAGTTCTTATTTTTTTTTTGCAAAAAGGCGATCCATGCAGAATGCATTAAAAAAAACATCCCAGTATGATCTTAAGTGGCCCTTGATTTGTCCTATTCCCTGATAATGGCAGGACACTGTCGCGGACTTACGTCGCAAGTTAAAGTCAATGGATCTGGATGCAGACTCAGAGGAATGAGTGTCAAAAATAATTGGATATGTCTCAAAATGGTGCGCCCTTTTTTCCCCTTAAATGGCCTTTTTGGCGCCAAAAAAAGGCACGCCATTTTGAGACAGATATATTATATATCATGAACAATAATTAGAAAAATGGTTTTGGGTCATATCCTTGCTTCCCAAAGAGGGTATCCCTGCAGGATGCCTATGGTACTCAGCAAGATGGTTCCGACTCGGATGACAGTGATGATGATGATGTGATTGTTACTGCAAATCCCTCGACTGAGCCCGCCGGAGCTTCAGCAACTCCAGTTCAGACACCTGTGCCCCCCGAAGCTCCTCGTGCTTTGAACGAAGTGCAGCCGGCTGTCCAGCCTGAGAGTTCCGAGGCTATTGCAAGTGCTGCCCTTCCAGAAACTGGTGCAACAATGTCACCAGCAGCCACGCCGAGCAAACCAACATCGGAGAGCCCCAGTTTCTAGTCGATATTTCAAAATGTTTCCTATGTACATCAACTTTCATTACCACCTTCTTTTTTCAGTGGAACATGAGGCAATGCATGTTCGGTTCCTAACGAAGTTGATCCTGCCCATGAAGCATTCCGAAAGCATCTTTTGCTACAAGAGTTGGCGCAACGAAAGGCCGAGCTGGAAGCGTCTTTTCCAAAGCAATTAAGAAATTATTACATTTTCTTCATTTTCGCATGTTTCTAAAAGAAACCCAAATTCTTATATTCTTCTTTGTCTGCATCGGTTCCCAGCACAAGTGAGGCTCCGAGCGTCGAAGCAAAAGAAGGTGGATGGAAACCTGGCTGCGGATTCTGGCCGAGTTGTGACACGTGCCGTGGCCCCACCAGGACAAGAAAGTCAAAATGCATCAAAATGCAGCATATGTTTATATTATTTTGTATTCAAAAAATTCGTATCAAACGCTGCTCACTTGTCCGTGTTTTGGTTTACTTTTTGCCTGCTGGTTAGGACCATGCAATGTGGATACGGTAGACACGCAGCCCATGGATGTGACGTCGCTCCCCATTCCAGAAGTCTCTCCTCTGAAGGTCCAACAAGTTGAGGATCCGGATACCCTTCGAGCAAAGTTTCAAGTTCCCAAGGTCCCCAAGTCAGTTCCTGCCTCCGGCGATGCGGATGTTGCTGATCTTCTGGCTCTCGCTGACCATGCTGAGAAGGTCCTTCAGTGCCCAAAGTAACCAGCAGTGTTTTGCCATGTGACCCCCAGACTGGTTTCTATAACAAAATGGTTTCAATTAGCAAGGGTCACCACCAGATTGCTTCTATCCCGTCAGGGTGTGACTCGTCGAGATCAGCTTGCAGCAAAGCCGAAGAAGGAAAGGGGTCGGGGACGTGGCCGGGGCCGTGGTGGTCGTGGCGGTCGTGGCCATGGACATGGGAAAGAACCTGAGGTACCACAACTCACTGATGCTGAGGTGTGGGAAGAGTACGAGAGGTGGGTGCTCGATGATGGACTATGGAAGAAGGCGGATGACGATAACGAGGACAAGACCATGGAGACTGAGAAGAAGAGGCCCCGAGTCATTCAGGAAAATGTCCGTCGGGTGGGTGACCATGTCTGTGAGGCTCCAGTCCCCTCTTCCAGCAAGCCTGCCAAGTCAACCAAACAGAAGAAGCCGGAGAATGAGGAGATGCCTGAGACTGAAATGGACCAGCAGCCCCGGAAGAAGAAGCACGCAGCCAAACCGCCTTCGAAGGTGAAGGCATCACCAAAGAAGCCATCGCAGAAGGTCAAGAAAAACAATCTCAAAGAGAAGAAGGAGAAGAAGAAACGGGTGGTTGCCGCTCCAGCCAACCATGACAATGAATTTGACGAGAGCATCATGAAAAAAATCCTGAAGTTCACAAAGAAGATCGACTACCAAGGGCTTGAGTGGGATTCCTTGAAGGCCACTACTCGAGACGCTCTGCCAGAGTTTACATTTTCCAAGTTGACAGTGTATTGGACCCGCAGCGCTTGTGCCGTTAGCATGTGGAGTTACGAAGCCGAAGCCTGGGTGGATGTGGGCCACTTCTCGTTCAACCGCACGGGCTTTCAAGGCACACCAGCTTGCAAATCAGTCGTTGCAGTTGCGCTGGGCTTGCAGCATGCCCTTCGCCGAAAAAAATGTTTACTTATGTTGGTGCTCATAAAGGTCCCGAAATGGAGCCGGTTTTTGTTCCTTTTTTTCCTGGTGCCCTTCTAATCTCAAACCTGGTTTGGTCCGATCCAACCCCATTTCTTTGTTTTCATTTTGGACTGAACAGTTTCTAACCTAAAGCATGTGAATCTGAGGCTCTGTGGGTTGATCAATACAATGGTTGGAAAACTGTCGCAGAGTGCCGCGAGTTTGAGAACTTCTTGAAGGCCCATGGTCGTGAAGCGCTGTACCGGTTGCACAACGTCGATTGAAAACATGAACATCTCGAATGTTTAGTGGAAATCCGAGGATTTCTGACTTTTGGCCGGGGTTTTGCAGCCCAAGCTTCTTAGATATTGGGGCTTGCTGCAATGTAGAACATAGCCACCCAAGTTGGAAAATCTAGTTTTCATACTGCTTGATATGTGAAAGCTTTGCAATGTGCCAGCTATAGTGGGTGACTGTGATGAAAGCACATCTCAAACTGACTGGTGATGCCCAGTCCTCTGTCTCGAGAGCTGCCATAGTACCAGGTACCTGGCAGCTTGCGGCTCGAAAACTGGCTTTGCTGAGAGTGTCAGTGTGTTAATCTCCAAACGCTTCCACCATTGTTCGCTATCAATTAATTTGCAATTTTGCAATTACAACTCAAAGTATCAACCATCAAGGCCGATGCCTACATCCCAAAGGCCATGTATGATCCCTTTCCCGAGGTTCACCTCATGGCGCCTCGCCTCTCCAGAGCTCGTCGATTGAAGAAGACGATTTGCAAGCGCAAGCGTCTTCCTGTCATGCTTGAGGGGTGTTGGATGCAGGGTCTTTGTTTCGTGGAATTGTATATAATAAGTATGATCCATACCATATAGCAAACATATTATATATCGAAGATTGCCTGGCTCAAAGTACCACCGAAATTTCCCACGAAGCCATGGATCATGAGATGGATTTGAGTTCCATGCTGTGGGCACTGAACAAGTTGAAAGCGCCACGAGCGCCTTGAACTTGACAAACTAAACTTGCCAATCACACAATTTTAGTGATGCTTTGAGATTTACAATCTCTGGTGTGTTTTTTGGGGGCCCTGTGGCTGCTGAGGAATTCTTGAAAGTGGTAGTACTCGTATACTTCACTTCGAACCTTTTCAATCTTGAAGAGGAGACTATGATTCGGATCCTATACCAGGTCTCACTGTTTCTTATAAATTACAAGCATTGTGCAGGGCGAACCTTGCTGCGCAGGACTTTCGGTGGCTGGAATATTTTGCTGGCCAAGCCTCCTGCACATTTGAGATGAGGCAGGCTGGTTTCCGGTCAGCTCGATTTGATAAGCTCTATTGTCAAGATCCTGGTGCACATGGTCGAAAAACCAACTGGATGGATCTTACAACACCGGCAGGATTTGCGTTTCCAAGTTGCAATCTAACATCCAATATGTGAAAAAACTAAGTATCAGCTTAAATCAAGCTTGAGCAGTTTTGAAGTAAGTATGCTGCATGCATCTGCGCATCTGCCAAACTAAGTCTCGCAGTGGTGTTCGTGATGAAGGGCATGGAGCTCGATCTATTGAGCTGGTTTGGAATCAAGTGTTCTTCCCTGGTGGCAGTAAATTCGGGGACAAGCAAGAGATCAGCTTGCAACAGTATTGGCTTGTCATGTCCATCGGTTGATGAATCCAATACTCTACTAGAGAGGACTGAGGAACATATGTGCCAACCTTTGTGCTTCTTTTTTTTGACATCTGAATCTCCCAACTCTGCCTTCCGCGCCTTGGCAGGACCATATGCCTTTGCATGCTGGTGACGGCGAAGCAAGGAGTGTGGGTGCTGGAGCAGCCAGGATCTAGCGTTCTCGAATTTTACCCTGCTTGGCTTCATTTTCTCAATGCCCTCTACCAATGGTATGGAATGAAAAGTGTTAGGTCCTCAGTTTCGCATTAGTGAGCATATGACCAATAAAGGTTTGACACTCCGAATCGATTCCAATCACAAAAAATCAATAAGGTACGCCGGGTTGCTTGGTGGATGTCAAGGTATGGAGCCAAGAGCCCTAAAAGACAATATGCCTGGGCCAACTCTCCGGCAATTCTTCGTCTTGATGTTGGCTGGAAGAAAATGAAACATACAATTCGCACATGCCACCAGTATGTGAACAAAAATGGGAAGCGGTGCTGGCATGGGTCGTCACAACTCAAACGCACAGAGTCCCTCAACAGAACATATCCCTTTCTTGGCTGTGAAAATCTCTGCAGTTTTGGGTAGTGGTTTGCTTTGGAATATCCGAAAGGTTTATGTGCTTAATAGCTTCTTGCAGGGCCCCAATTCTTAGCATTCCCCAATGGCCGAGCTTAGGAATTACCCTCGACCTTTTGCGCAAGCTATTGTTCGCTTGAGGGATGACCTGGTGAACCGTGGCACTCGGCACTCATACCCATCCCCAATGCCAACTGGGGTCTCGACTGTGCAGGCAGCTTGGCAAGATGATGAGGGCCTGTTCAAGCAGGCTCGACTGTCAGAGGTGGTTGCCTATTTGAGGCTGGGGTCAAGTTTGAACCTGCCAAAGCACTGGCGGGAAACCATCCCACGTCCTGATGGATTTTAGAATCTTTCTGGAACCTAGAAAGGTTTGACTTGCTGCAGAGTCGAATTTGGGTATCGAATGCTGGAAACTATTGGATTTCTCGGTACCCATGATCGAATATATCGATTTTTTAAGGTCGAAAGTCGGGATATCCCATATTCTTCCCGTAAAATCCCATATTCTTCCCATAAAATCCCATATTCTTCCCATACATCTCCCATATTTTAGCAAATCCTGGAAATCAAAAACCCGTAAAAAACCCATAAAAATCCCATAAATTCCCATACAAATCCCATAATTTCCCGTAATGAAAAATCAGGATATGCAATCTGCAATATTTTGGGGTTCGACTCGGTTTTTTGTCGAAACCGACTGATAAGCTATGAGGACCCAGTTCGACTCAGGGCCAGCTTTGAGACTCAATTCACTGTGGAATGAGCCACAGCCTTACGATGCAAACCTTGAGGGGAAAATGGATACAAGTGCTTCATGGAAAATGCAGTATAGATGAGGTGGAGAAATTCTTCATTCATTGAACATACTCAAACTAACAGATTGTAATCGCAATTTCCTCTTGGCAGGTGCTCAAGCTGTTAGAAACTCAAGATAGGCATGTCCAAACGTTGGTCTTGCGGCAGTTTGGGAGAAGGATTCAATCAAGTCATGGACGACGCTTTGGCTGCCGATGAAGCTGCAATCCAGAAGCAAATTCAGGACTATTCAAATGATTCAAAGATGTACAAAGTACACTTGTAGTGAGCTATCAGCTTAAGATGATTTCGGTTTACAAATCAACCCCTTTTGGCTGGAGGATATCGAAGGTCAGATTGCCGCTATCTCTCTTGAACTCGGTGACAAGACTGCCCTGGCCTCATCGACTTTCCAGCAGGTTGGTCCACTGCCAAATCCAGCCTCAGGTGGACAAGGAAGATGGTGTGTCCATCGAAGTCCCGACTCCGAGCACAGTTCCAGGAGATACTTCAGAGGCAGGGTGTGTTCTGGGTTGTCTTGGATTTGGGTTGTTTGGGATTTGAAATGTTTTGGAACTTGAGCTTTATTTTCCTGTCATTGTTTTGAGACAGGCCACTTCTGATGCTTCGGAACCTACTTCAGGATCAGCACGTCCAAAGGACTTTGAATATGAGAACGCAGTTGATGATGGGTACTACTTTGTGGGTGATGGACCACAAGATGATGATTCTTGCCTCAAGACTCTTCTTGAATTCCTAGTCCTAGAAAAATTGGCCATTATAGCAAAACAAAACGGACTTCACTACTTGTTCTGATTGTTCCCAGGAAGTAGCTGTTCATGACCTTTCCGTCCAACTGGCTCTTGCGCTTGGAGGGGACCTCAAAATGAAGGAAGAATCACTTGACACAGATCAGGGGCCAGTTGCCGATACTTTGGATGGTGAATGCAACCCAGCCCCAGACTCGAAACCGACTAAATCCCGGCTCACCCGTCGTGTCCATTGCAAGCATTGATTTGATCCAAGCAGAGTATTGCAATATATTGCAATGAATCCAAATCAAGACGAACATTGTTTCAGTTTCTTGATTGTTTCGTCGGTTAGAAAAAAGATAGCAACACTAAGGAGCTTCTCCGCAATGCTGCTAAAGCTAGGATTCGGAGAATGGTCGCCAACAAGAAGAAACGGAGTGATTTGCAGTGCCCTCCATGGCTGAAAGCTGAATGGGAGAAAGGAACTGAGCAAAAGGAGAACATGGCCGCATGCCTTCAGGCAGTCAACTGGGACAAGGTGGGGTGGCTTTATATTTCCCATGTCAGATTATCATACTATAGTTTATATGTTTATATCATCAGGCAGACTTATCTCCGCTTCACCATCTAATCGAAAGACAAAATTCTTAATGCACCCTACCCTTGGGCCTTTGTTGAGGCCAAATTCATAGATGAAATGGAAAGGGTCGTGACTTCCCGCAAGAAGATCATAGTGAAGAAGGAGGAAGGTTGGTATTCCGAAGCCGAGATGAAATCTGACTTATGTTGGCAGCAGTCGCTCACCTGAAATGATGATCTTACTTACACAAAGCAATCTTGACAAATCTTGACAATATGTTTGAAGCATGTTTCAAAATCCCATTTACAAGTATTTTTTCGGGGGCCATCCTTCCGTCCGATCTATCAGGTCGCGAGTGACCGGAGCAAAGGCCTACTGCACGGATCCAAAACGGCATGCCACCCATACCCGGCCAGGGCCCCAGCTGGATGGACTCGAAGGTTTGCAGGTCCAAACGCCAAACAGTTTGGCCTTAGCACACCAGCTCAGGACAAACGTATATGACAATATTGTGGAGTATTGGGTGACAGTTCGAGAACATGGAGCCTACGAAGAGGAACATGAAATTTTGGAAAGAAAGAAGTCGACTCGGAAGGCCGCATTTCTTAGTCCTTCATTTCGACAAACAATTTTGCATCCTATTCCAAAATTATTTGCTCGAATTTTTGAGTGTGGAAACCATGGAAACTATGGTTTTGGAATCTATACCTCATGAACAAAGCTTGACAGGCAGATGAGGCTGTCGAGATTTCCCCCGGTACTTTTGGCCAAGTCCAAGCCCTAATGGATCGCGGAGCCCTTGATGGGGCGGATGATGCGAACAAGGAATTGCCCGATGGAAAAGTTGCTGAGGCGGGGTTGCAAGTCCCAACAAGTATGATGTATGAACCACATTTGAAAAGTTCAATTTGCCGATCTTTGCTCGCAGAACAAAGCGCACTTCAAGCGATTCATGGACTCCGTCCTTACCAAATCCACGAAGCTGAAGGGACTTGTGAAGGACTTGAGGGACAATTATGAGAATGACACCGCGAAGCAGTAACATGTTTAAAATTCGCACTGTGGATATATACTCAAGTTTATTGACTTAATAGGCTTCGCCCTTTTCCATGGTTTCAAGCTCAGGTACATCAGCCAGCTTGAACAACATGTCTCGAAGCTTGAGAAGGAATACGATGTGTTGACAGAGACCATGGCCAAAGGGGAGAATTCCAAGTATGATGCTGCGTCGGGGACCCAAAAATATTCATGTTTAGTGCTTGCTTCCCATATTTAATGCTCATTTCCCATATGTTGTTTAAAGATATATTCGGCGCATTGAAACTTAGGTGGTGGAATCTGGCCCATGAGGCCATGAAAAAGGTGACTTTTGTGCCAGGGACTTGGTGTGAATTCCGTCACCAAGTGCCTTATGGATGAACCCACCCGGCCATTGAGGTCCAGTCGGGCCACTGCCGAAGAGCAGAAAGTGCGGTTCGGACCTCAACACATTCCAGGTGCATGCACGTCAGTGCCCATGCTATTCTCGCCCAGGAAATCCAAACAGTTTCTGACCAAGATGTCCAGCCCTGGTCCGAACAAGCCTCCTGGTGGATCTTCGACAAGGGGGAATAAGAGACCCAGTGGCAATGGTGATTCCAATAAGAAACCAAAAAAGGCGAAGAAGAGAGCTTAGGCATCTAGATTTTCACTGTTTTCTTTAACAACTGGGTTCAGTTCTTTGCTGGGGGGCTCGAAAATGTAGTGACATACAAATTCAAAATCACACCTTGTCTCATCTTATCTTAACATCAAAATTTCCCGCCAATGTTTGTATCCCAGCAGCCCCTCGGCTTTGAACAACTGGGAGCTCCATCGCTTTTGTCAGCCTGGCGTTGCGTCAATTGCCACTGTCGATACATGCAGTGGAACAAGCCAGTGGCTACACAGGGTGGAGATTCGTTGGGGCAAACCGGCCTTAGTTGAAATTTATGGCCGTCCTTGACTATCAAGGAAACTAGGGTAGGATCAAATGCTGGAGCGAGAAAATATCAGATTTGCCTTTGCCTCAATTGTGTTTTGAAAGCTTAACTGATCAACACCTTCTTGTCTGCAAAGACTGTTGTAAAAACGTTGGCATATGATTCGATCTTTTTTGGGCCAGGTGCTGGCCCTGGCCTCCGACGCTTTGTCCATGAAATTGGCGAAGGGGTTCCCGCCTCAGATTTTCTGCTCACAACATTTTCCAAATCAAGATGTCTCCAAGTCATGCCCTAAGTTGATATACAGCTACCTTCTAACCCTTATTGTGTTATAATATCTTTCATATTTCTTGTATAAATTATATGCAATTTACCGTCGCTCTGGGCTGCTGGTGCCTGGCAAATTGAATGAAAGCGAGCTGCTACTGACGCTAAGGTGGCATGCGCAGTGGCAATTCGTACTGCCAAAGCAGTCGTGGAGGAGGTCCCTAGCGCTGCCCAAAGCAGTGTGGCATCTCTAGCCGCATGTCGTGAAAACAACAGTGAGAGAGACACAGGGCGTGTAGCAAAAAGATTCGGTTTGAAGCTGCCTATTCCTTTGTGCAGAGTTCAGCTTGGGAGCGATGAGATTCCTTTCCTGAAAATGAGTGACTGGGCTACTTTCATCCTTCAGGCCCATCTCTGGCACAGGCTGTGTGGCTTGACAGATCGTGACCAACAGCGATGTTGCGACATTTGGCAATCTTTCTGGACTAGGTACCAGAAAATCGAGCCGAACCATCCAATTTACAAGCGCCCTGGCCACGATTTGTCGAGAACTTGTGCACTCTTGCTGCACGGAGATGAGGGAAGGTCTTTGCGGAAATCAGCTCTGATGGTTATATCAACCCATTCCATTTTGGGTTTTGGGCTTTCAACTTCCAAGCATGAGAAGAAATCGAAGCGCTTGGCTCAGAAACTCAATTATGAACAGCCTACTTGGACAACCCGATTTTTGCTTTCAGTTCTTCCAAAGAGCTACTACAGTGAAGAAGACGATGCTGCTTTGGATTCCGATCCTTTCCAGGACCTGATGGATGCGATTTGCATTGATTTACGGAGCTTGTATGACAACGGGATAGAAACCAAGGATGGTCGTTTCTATTTCTGCGTTGTCAAAGTGATGGGCGATTGGCCATTCATACAAAAATGTGGATCACTATCCCGTACATTCATGAACATCTCCAAGGCTGCCAGTAGCCGTGCCCCTCCGAAGGGCATTTGCCACTTGTGTTGCGCTGACATGACAGGCGTTGAGTGGGAAAACTTCCACATCCGTCCTCCAACTTGGGTTCCGACAGTGAATACTTTGAGTGCATTTTTGACA